TCTTATTTTCTCAAAATGATACTCTTCCAATGAGCTTATTTAATCACTCTTTGCATCTCTCCTAGCTTGCTGAAAACGATGAAGGTCTCAAAAGACCACATATACCAAATCCTACTGAGTCTTAGGTCTCCTGGGATGGATAAAGATGTACCACAGGCTTGGCCACTGGTGCTGGGACCTAAATAGGCAGAGTCCCCTGTGTTGCAGAGCCTCATTGGATCTGAAGTTACAGAGCAAAGCAGGTAACAAGCACTGTTTTCAGACATTATTCCACAAGTTGAAGTTTCAGAATAAGATTTCTTTTTTTGAAAATCAGGAAACTGCAATGTTTTCTGCCATGCTTTCTCATGTTACAGCCCATGTGAAACGCAGTCTCAGATAGATCCACTGTTGCAGGTGAAGGCATTTCCCATGCTATGGAAAGGACATTTACTCTCCACAGGGATATCTGAATATTCGGCAAGACTATGTAGGCTTAACAAAATATATGGTTATTTGAAATGTATTCTTGAATGTGCCAATCTGCAAGAGGAAGAAATATCTTAGACTGTGACAGGTAGATCACATCCAAATAGGGATCAACAGAGGACAAGAGACTGGAGTTTCTGCTAAGATTTCTGGTAAGTGAGGAGAGATTGTTGAGACTTTGTATTTACATTCTATTTCACAAGACTCTGGCTTTGTATACTTACTTTAAGCTTCCTAGTTAATGCTCTCTATAAACTAATTCAAGTGATTGGAGTTTGACCCATTTCATGCAAAGCAGAAAAGGAGTCAAGATTCAAAGCTAGGTGTAACGGACTGTGAAAACCAGCTCTGGCAGCAAATCTTACTTCGAATTGCTTATATTTTATTCCTCCAATATCTTTGAAAATGTAACTCTTCATGGCAAAGTGGAGTTAAAGTGATAGAGAAAATGAAAAAGATGTAAATATGCATAAATTAGGAGTCCAGAGTATGAAAAATATAACTGTTTAGGGGAAGGAGAAAAATTCAAGGAACATTTATTAAAACTTTATTATGAATAATGAAAATCATGAACCCTAATTGATGATATGCTTTAGGAGGGGGTCTGATTTTCTGTGAAGGGTAAGCACAAATTGCCCAGATCAGCAGCTCACTCATTATTAATGGTATTTTACCAGGGTTCATGGATACAATCCCATAGCTACACTGAAATGTTGCATTACTTAAAAAGGATAAAATATGTGAGTTTTCAATAGAAGCTACTGGGATTCTATCTGATTGCCAAATCAAAATCTAATGTCTAAAGATGAGAAAAAAAGTTCAGATTTAGAATGTGAAGATCACATATCCTCTGTTTATTTTGTGAACGTTGGTAAAAACAATACCTGAACCAGTTCCTGAGATCAATACATTTATATTGCTTTTGGCTTTTATTTTACTGTAGCATTTTCATCGATTTTGAAAGGACAGTTAATGAAAAATGGAGCCTGGGAAAAATACGGGTGGAGATGCTTGTCTAGACCCAGAGTTAGGGCACAGGCTGGGAGAATCGATGACGGAATCTCTCCCCAGCTACCCTCCCTTTCTGAACAGACAAACTATTTTCCTTTGCTTTTGTCATCTGGTCCTTCCTATGGACAACCTTCTCTATCAGCATTTCCCTCAGCCTCCAGAAACCATGCACTTCCTGGGATGTGACTATTACTAATTTTTCAGCTGCTAGAGCTCCAATTTCTCAAAATCTGTTTCTGGTTTCAACTTACTAATTCTTGAATTTGCTTTAATCATTTGTGAAAGTCTAAGATTTTTTTTTTCAAAATTTCATTTCCCATTTGCAAAACAACCATTGGAAACAATAAAAAGACAATGGTGATACTCCTAATGACAGTGATAATGGCAGCAGCAGCAACAATAGAACGAACAAAGAACAGTAGCATGGAAAAAGAACTGTGGGCCCGGCGCGGTGGCGCAAGTGGTTAAAGGTCCTCACCTTGCACTCCCGGGATCCCATATGGGGGCCGGTTCTAATCCCGGCAGCCCCGCTTCCCTTCCAGCTCCCTGCCTGTGGCCTGGGAAAGCAGTCGAGGACGGCCCAAAGCTTTGGGAACCTGCACCCGCGTGGGAGACCCGCAAGAGGCTCCTGGCTTCGGATCGGCATAGTATCGGCCGTTGCGCTCACTTGGGGAGTGAATCATCGGACGGAAGATCTTCCTCTCTGTCTCTCCTCTCTGTATATCCGCCTTTCCAATGAAAAAATAATAAAAATAAATCTTTAAAAAAAAAAAAAAAGAACTGTGAAAGCCTAATAGGGAGACCAAATGTATCAGATCAAAGAATAGAGGCAGACAAAATGTGAAGAAGGGGTTATTCAGAAGGGATAATGAAGCTAGATGATATGAGTTTCAATATCTGGCTAAAAAGTAACAATGAGATTGAGCAACCTGTTCATAATTTTGTAATGTGTCTTATGGAGAACAATTAAGTCACTGTTCTTGTTGGGTTATTATGAAATGCAAATGATATTTGATGAGTATTAAAAATTACATAAATTGGCTATCATAGGGCACAACTCTCCGTGAAAGGTAAAAAAAAAAAAAGAAAGAAAGAAAGAAAGAAAGAAAGAAAGAAAGAAAGAAAGAAAGAAAGAAAGAAAGAAAGAAAGAAAGAAAAAGAAATAGTGGGGTGTCTGTGGCATTTTGATTAAAAAAAGATCTAGATGATTGACAGTTGTCACTGGTATGAGGGAGACAGTGCTGGAAGCACAATTAAAAGATTTATTGTCCACAACTTCTTCATTCTTTCTTGTTTTTTGAATCTACTAGAATGACTTACAGCTGAACTATATAGCTGGCTTCTTGCTTGCTTGCTTGCTTGCTTCTCCTCCTCTTGCCCTCTTTCTTTTTTGCCTGACAGCACTGGATTTATGATTCAATTCTAAACCTTTGTATTCCAGAGTATTGATTGTTCTTCCAGCGGTATGGCTCAGTGTCGCAGTTGGCTGGAGCAGAACTGAATCTGTAACTAAGAGAAAGAAGCTCTTGTGCAGCTCATTTCTCGCAATGTGTTACTGAAGAAAGAGCCAAGCTCTTAGCTCTTAGCTCTTCTACGGACGTGAAATGGATAAATCAATTTAAAGTAATTGAAATTACTTCCTCCAAACCATACGTTTGCTGTTCTACTTCTGATATTCTTTAATGGCATTGCTATTTTCAGGCAATATTACTCAAATCACTTTATTATCTTCCATTCCTCTGGAATTATCATGTCACACAAAACTAGCTGTTTTTTCTAAGTGTATGTTTATATATATATATGTATATTAATTTTCATCTTATTTTTTTTTTGTGATTGGAGCCATTTTCTAGGTTCTGTACCTTTCTTACTCCAGCTAGCTATTTTCCTCTGTAATTGAACTTGCTAGTGTCACATTTAGTTAAAAAAAAAAAAAAATCAGCTAAGCTAAACAAACAGGCAAACCCAAACCTCTATTATGCTAGGTGTTACAAGTACACTAATAATGATAATGGAGGTTAAGTTTTTCAAATAAAGAACAATATAAAATATGTAATTAAGACGTAACCAGATCAGTAGCTAAGAAACTGAACAACAACAAAAAAGTAGTGTCTATTGAAAATTTCTCAGGTGAGGATTTGGAGAGGGGGGTAGGGAAATTCCAGACCCTATGGAATTGTACCATAAAATTCAAAATTAAAAAAAGGGAAATACTGCATATTAATCACATTATATTCTTCAAACTGATAAATATTGTAAGCTTTGAAACTATTTTTGAATAGTGAATTAATTCTTAATATAAAAAATTAATCCTAAAGTCTAGCTTGTTTTTTAAATTCTATATATTTCTGAGGCATAATTTTCTTGCCTACTCATTTTTCTTGTATATTTCAGGCCACAATATGCTACATAATTTGATATGTAGTTTTCTGATTTTTTTCCTTTTTCTTTTTTGTGCCCAATGTTACTCTTATAGTATACAGCATTAAAAAAAAATAAAACAAACAACAAAAAAACTGGAACTATCTCCACGAATCGTTGCCTGTTTCCCCTAGTTTTAACTTTACATACTGTCTATTTCATGTTCCTGTACACTGTGGCTGATTTTACACTTCTTCCTATCCTGATGTGTGTCAGGAGATGGTGATTTACATCCACAAGAAATTGAGATTTTTGGAATAGAGGTGGTTTATGACTTGTTGTACGTTCCTCCATTGACATATTTCAGAGTGAATGTCAGCACATGTTCATGAATGTGTAAACACATGTTTGCAACGTATATAACTCAATTCTTTCATTATTTCATTGGTTATGGTACATATTTTCCTTTTTCTCAATAATAATCCTCAACTTTGAACAGAATTTTAAATTAATTGGGAGAAATCACTCATTTAATCAGGAGAAGTGTAGGATAGACAGAGGAAAGGAGAGGTAATTGTATGGGTAATGAAAAGTCTATTAAATTCAAATAACATTACCTGTGCTCATTTTAAATAGAACTGTTTAAATCAAGAACATGCATATCTAATTATGTAAGGTAAGAACATGGCTCCAATATGCAGAATACTAAGTTCAAACAATACACTACAACACAAGAAACACCAATATTTCTGTTTATCTTTATGTCCATGCAACTTGCTAAAGAACAAAGGTAGCTCCTTTGTGAAACTCGTGGTATTATATTGCAGTGTTAGTGATTGTTCTTGACTTTTAGAAGTGGACCCTCCCCCCCAAGGATCACAACAGTATTTTAATCTCTGGGGTACTAAAGTTCCAGAAACAAAATGTGTTTGGGCAGTAGCAATGACCAGTAGGACAAGCAGAGAAACTATGATATATAAAAGTCTGTAGGAGATTTTGATGTTCAATGTTAAGCCAAATCATAGATAATATGGATCACAGTGACCACACAAATTACAAATACATTTAAAAACATTCAAATCTGATTAAACAATCCTGGAACCTCATTATTTATCTTCTTTTTCTGTTCTAGTATCCACTAGTGGCAGTCATAATAAAAGATGACAACCTTCTCGAATTACACCAATCTTAGAGACATCTGGTACACCATGATTGGAATCCCAGGGCTGGAAAATGCACACCCGTGGATCTCTATCCCCATTTGTTGCATGTATATAGTCGCTGTTTGGGGCAATACCCTATTGTTGTTCCTTATCATCACCGAGCGCAGTCTTCACGAACCCATGTATTTTTTCCTCTCCATGTTGGCCTTGGCAGATGTCTTTCTCTCCACAGTCACCACTCCAAAGATGCTAGCAATCTTCTGGTTCCAAGCTGGAGGTATTTCTTTTGGGAGCTGTGTATCCCAGATGTTCTTCCTTCACTTCATCTTTGTGGCGGAGTCTGCCATATTGTTGGCCATGGCATTTGATCGCTATGTAGCCATCTGTTATCCACTAAGATATACTACTATTCTAACCCCATCAATCATTGGCAAAATGGGTATTGCCTCTGTGACTAGGAGCTTCCTCATCTGTTTCCCCTTGATTTTTCTGGTTTATCGCCTTACTTACTGTGGCAGGAACATTATCCGTCACTCATACTGTGAACACATGGGTATTGCCAGGCTATCCTGTGATAGCATAAAAGTCAACATTTATTATGGGGTGATTGCAGCTCTGTTTTCCACTTGTCTGGATGTGGTGCTTATTATCATCTCCTATGCACTTATACTTTGTGCTGTGTTTAGAATCCCTTCCCGAGAAGCTCGACTCAAGGCTCTGAGCACCTGTGGCTCCCATGTCTGTGTCATACTTTTGTTCTACACACCAGCATTCTTTTCCTTCTTTGCTCACCGATTCGGGGGCCACAACATACCACTCCATGTACATATCCTCCTTGCCAATCTTTATGTGGTGGTGCCACCTTGTGTCAACCCCATCATTTATGGGGTTAAGACTAAGCAAATACAAGAGAGTTATCCAGGTCTTTTCTTTGAGCAAGACATTTTGTTAATACAGATCAAAATTCTCAGTCTTTATTTTTCTTAATAACTGCACAAATTAAGACCTTCCATAAGTTTATCCTTGTACTGAGTATGAAATGTTAAATACATTATAAGATTATTGGAAATATTTAACGAGGTAATACATAGAAATCCCTACACTTGTGCCTTTTTTGAGTGTAAAAGAATGTTGCCGTTTGTTATTATTCACAGTTGCATAATTAATTACATCTCATAAACAATACTGGATCAAAAGAACACAGTAATGTTGCAACAACTTAGCAAGCGAATTATCTATTTATTTGAAAGGGAAAGAAAGCAAGAGAACTTTCAATTTCCATTTACTTCTTGAATGCCTGCACTGGCAGGTGAGGCAGAAGGAAGCAACGAACCTGGAGCTCCATCACAGTCTTCCAATGAATGGCAGAGCCCAGCTCTTCGGACCAGATACGTTAGCTTGAGGCTGAATCAGGAGCGGAGTAGCAGTGACTCTGATATGGAGAACCAAGTGGAGGAATAAGGTGCTGCACCACAATGCTTGCTTCTTAAGCAGCTTCTTTTATTTCTTCTTTGTTACGTGGAAGATGAAACATCACAGATGCAATGTTTTAAGCTGATATCAAATGAAGTCATTTTACTTTCTTACTGTGATATCAGGATAAATATGGAAACAGATAAATTTCAAGAGTGGAGGTTCACAACTCAATCTATTGAAATGGATCAAGAATCAAAACCCTCCTCTAGCTTACTGTAAATGTAGCCCTTACCTCTGGCTGGCCACGTAACTGCTGTATGAACTGTTTCTTTTTTAACCACAGAAAATGGATGATTGCTATTAATGTTAACAGTAAAAGTATTTATTAGGAAATAAAAGCAGGATGGGATATTAGAGAACACAATAAAATAGCAATTAATGACAAAGGAATTTTATGTTTACTTGTACAATTCATCCTAATTCTTTCTATAGATCAATAGAGCCAACATACCATTTTGAGCAAATCCTCATTCAGTAACTATTTACTAAGAAAATATTTAGTGTTGTGTTTCACTATTCGATTGCCTCCTTAAGTTACATTTAACTTTTTATTCTATGTTTTATGTCATTCGTGTGGAGGAAATCTTAGGATATTTTTATAGGGAGGTTGGCAGGGAACTGTGTTTTTTGCCTGCTAGGTATAGTAGGTTATATTTTCTTTAGACAGTGAACAATGGATATGTTTATATAGCTAGAGAGCTGATTTCTGGTTCACCATTATTTTCTCCCCAAATTCCAGGTATAAGTTCTCCCCAAAATGGTGAAAGAAATTAAAATGTGCCCTTTGTAGTCTGGAGACAAAGCTTTTTTATCACTTTGAAATCTTGGCTTTTTGATGAGCCCCCCCCTCCTAATTTCTATGTTTTACTCTGACTGAATGTCTGTTTTAGCTTTCCCTATCAGTCTTAGATTGTAAGCTGTATTTATACAACTTATAATTTCTTTAGCATTTTACATTCTACTAACTAGAATAAAATTCTCATCACAGAATCACACAATTTTTTACTTAAAAGGTTCAATTTTATTGTTTTGGTTTAGCCTCAATGAAAATAAAATGCTGGGCCCGGCGCGGTGGCGCAAGTGGTTAAAGGTCCTCGCCTTGCACGCCCGGGATCCCATATGGGCGCCGGTTCTAATCCCGGCAGCCCCGCTTCCCTTCCAGCTCCCTGCCTGTGGCCTGGGAAAGCAGTCGAGGACGGCCCAAAGCTTTGGGAACCTGCACCCGTGTGGGAGACCCGGAAGAGGCTCCTGGCTTCGGATCGGCATAGCATCGGCCGTTGAGCTCACTTGGGGAGTGAATCATTGGATGGAAGATCTTCCTCTCTGTCTCTCCTCTCTGTATATCCGCCTTTCCAATGAAAAAAATAATAAAAATAAATCTTTAAGGAAAAAAAAAAGAAAGAAAATAAAATGCTATTAACTAATATGTTAAAAATATAATGCTTTGTTAACAATCAATCTAATTAATAGACAATTTCTTCAGCAACTATTAAGAGAAATTGACCAAAAATTTAAGTATTTCATGTTTAAAGTGATATATGTTTATACCTAAAACACTGATTGGGAGGGTTTGTTCCAGGAAATATTCGTTATCAAACTTATGTTTTTCCACAGAGGCCCATGACTAGGAAGACGGTCGCTCAAGAAAGGTTATCAATGTATTTCTACGACATGTTTCTAATTATAAAGCTTAAGGAAAATTAACTTATGTGCCCAGACTTTTAATATATATAGATAGATGACAGAAAAATTGATATGTCATTTATAATAGTATCTGGAAGATAATTTATGTTTACTAAGTGCTACTAATTATTTATATATTATAGGAATAATATATAATCATTATAAGTTATGTATGCTACATATAAATAGAACATATATCCATATACACACATATGTATATAAATCATGAATTTATTTTTTCTCATTTGTAAAGATACTTTGGACTGCCAGTTGGTTTGAATGTTGCATAGAGGAAAAAACCATCATTTATGAAACAAGTAATTACTATTATTTGTGAAAACTGGGGTGTACTTCCATCAAATCAGAGACAGTATTTTCTAAGTATATTTCCTGCACACACAAAGGCATTCTGCCTTTGTCATACTTTTAATTTTGTTTTCTAGAGCATTGCTGTCAATGAAGCACTATTTGTTTTCAGCAGAGGGAATCAACTAGAGCAAGGGAAGGGAGAAAGACAGTTTTGATGCAGAGGGAATTCCTTGTAGACACAGATATGTAGTGGCAGGGATGTGTTCAGCATGAGACAGGAAAAATCCATTGGCCTACAGTTGCTTAGCCTGTGCCTTACTGGTCATGTTCCTGATTTGGCTTTTCCCAGACCTCACTAGGCAGGATGTAGACTTCAGTTATTCCTCATTTGCTAAGTTATTGGGCATTTCTCTGCTCACCTGCCTAAGATGTTTCTACACTTCATTTGTTAATATATGACTTGTTAGAGTTATAACACTGTTTTGCTTACCTTAAAATGCATAAAACTCTGTAAAATTTTGCTTGAATACTATAAACTGCTAAGTTTAAAAAAGTTCACTAAGTACATTCTAAAAAATGACCAGTGCTCACTGGACAAGTTTCTTACTAGCAATATATAGAGATACTGTCAAAAATCATGATATGCTTAAACAATCCTTCAAATGCATTTTGAATTAAATAATTCTAGATTTAAGACATTGACAATAACTCTTAATATGAATACCCAAGAGTCTAGAAATACAAGATAAAGCACATACTTATTATATAATACAGATGAGTACTAAGACTCCAGGAACACACAACTTCTCAGTTACAGATTTGGGGACGCTATCAAAGTGCTTAGATACAAAAAGGCAGGAGCCCAATGTGTTTCAAGGGGAAACCAAAAGCAAAAGTATGTTAACACCCAATTACCTGATCCTCTCAGAAATATTCCCTTCAAGAGGTTTCCTGAAAACCTAAGAGAGCAGTGCTAACGTAAAAACGATCATGTGGCATGTTTAGTCAGAATAACAAGGAAGACAGTGCTTTAATCTTCTTCCTCAAAGTGCAGATGAGTCCAGGAAGTTGTTACAGCACTGTAGGAAACATACAAATCGTGGGAGAAGCTCACTAATAAAGGTGCCAATAGTGTTTTTTTTGGAAAAAAAAAGTGTATGTAGCCAACAGTCATTGGAAGAAATGTTAGTCACGGGAGTAAGAGAAACTGTTTCCGAGTGGTGGAGTTGCTGAGTAAAAGCCAAGGTTCAATGGATATGTTATTAAGTAGTCCCGGGGAAAATAACCAGGAAAAATATCCAATAGAAGCTGCAGAAATGATGAAGTTCTATGCAGAGGTAAGAGGATAGCAATGATTTTTTCCCACATGGGTCAACTCAATGAGACATGCAGACTAGAAGCCTTTGCAGCTCTGTATCCCAGTCCTCAGATTCACACCAATTTCCTTTCATTTTAGGCAACATTAATGAGTGTGAGAACAGGTGGGCATTGAACTATGTGAGAAGAAAGAGTCTAGTTAAGAAGTTGCCTTCTAATTGACAGAAAGCATTCTGATTCAGTTTTGCCACCTTGGAGATAATATTTATACTCTAAATTATTATTCGAGTCGTAAGTAGAAGATTTGCAGTTCAGGCAACCATTAGCACAAATAATATATTTGAAACAAAGCAGCACCATGAAAACAATTTAACAAAAACTTAACCAAAGCAGAACGAAACAAAAACCTCTCCACATTTTAATTTTAGCACAGAAAGTATAAATGCTATTACGTAAGTATGCTTTGGTACACATGGTGCGCCTTGATACAATTGCTTGGAAAAGGTATCTACACAATTTTTTCATGTAGTAACTCATTCAAAAATGTATACTAACATCAATTTATAACTTAAAATCCTTAAACAAAGGGATGATGGAAGGGATTCTTGGGACAGGAAATGAAACAGTATCATCCCCAACAAGAGTTAACTTGAAAGCCAAAATTTTCCCACATTATGTTCTAGTAATCAAATTTCCCTTATTACAATATTTTCATTCACAAGTTTGAATAATCAAGATGTCCCCCAGAGATTTTCTGTAACGATTAGCAGTCAGCGTCATTACATATTGATTCTGATTTATCTGGCTCATAAAAGTGTGTGATAGATATGAGCTAAGAAATACTTTTATATTATCATTATTTATTTGGTAAATGTTATATTCTTTTTTAAAGCATATTTTACTTTTGTAAAGATTTTTTTAAAAAATTTATTTTTACTGAAAAGGCAGATATACAGAGAGGAGAGACAGAGAGGAAGATCTTCCATCCAATGATTTACTCCCCAAGTAGCCACAATTGCCGGAGCTGCACCGATTCAAAGCCAGGAGCCTCTACTAGTCTTCCATATAGGTGCAGGGTCCCAAGGCTTTGGGCCATCCTTGACTGCTTTCCCAGGCCACAAGCAGGGAGCTGGATGGGAAGCGGGGCTACCGGGATTAGAACCAGCG